CTTTAGGGTATCATAAGCCTCTTTGTTATTTTGGCTATAGCAGACCAACACATGAAACCAGGGCTGAAATAGGAACTTTCAGATTAAAAGAGTATGTTTCTGTGTGTAAACTGCCATCAAGTCACAGCTAGCTTATGGTGACCCCAGCAAGGGGTTTCCAAGGCAAGTGAGAAGCAGTTTGCCATTGCCTTCCTCTGCAGAGTCTTCCTTGGTGGCTTCTCTTCCAAGTACGGACCCTGCTTGGCTTCTGAGATCTCACAAGAATGAGCTATATCATGCCACCTTCCCTTCTAACTGGAAAATTACATTTGTGAAACCCAGGGAAACCTCTAAATGTAGCAGAGCCCATTGATGTCTAAAATCTGCTGTAGAGCTGAGCAAAGATTCAGTTTGGCAAATATTCAGTTGCATAGAAAAGGAATCTGGAAATCCATTACTACATATTTCATGCTTTCATCTTGGCAAAGTAATATTTAGGTTTTCCTCACCAAAAAAAAAAAGATGTTAAAGATATTTAGGAAGCCCAAAACAACTTTATTGTGTACTGACGTGCAAGGGGTGTTTATTTAGCTTATCCCTTTCCGATATACCCGAAATGATTCCTGTACCATGAAAGGTACAGGATGAACGGATTAACACTTGAGGCTACAATTGTAAATGCATTTCTTCAGATTTAAGACCCACTGGATTTAAAGGGGTTTACTTATGAGTAAACATGCAGATAGACAACTTTTTAATGTCCTGTCTTCATCCAGATCAGGAGGTGTTGATTCTTCCTCTGCCCCAAATTGCAAGGCTGGTTAACTCTGGCAGGTTAATTCATGGAGCAGCTATGGGGAGTGAGTCTTGGGCTCATGCCCTGTTGAGCATACCTCTTCAAGAGAACCCAAACTTTCACACATAATACCTTATGCAATCAGCCCACCACAACAGAGCCCACCAAGTATACCAGTATGGCCTACTTCCATCGATTTTTCCCCCTTACTTTTATAGAGTTTTATATACTCAATGACACAAGGGGTATCCAGGCTGTATAAGAACAACCCATTGTCCTTTCTAATTCCTTGCTTAGATTATTCCATCTGGTAACTGAAGTGTGCAATCATTTGTAAGAGGGACATAAAATCTAAATGCCATCCTGGGGTTGAGGTTAGGCCCAGATAATTATCTGAATATGAAGTCGCTGTCTCAATTCAGTTGCACTTAAATTAACTACTGATTAGGGGGAGGGGGGAGGGATAGAAGAAAAGAACACCTACAGTGATAATTAAGATACTTTGGTACCAAATCAAAGATCATTATTTGAAACCAATTATTTTTATTGCATTGTGGCAATTCCACAAACCGGCCGTAATCACCCTACTTCTAATTTTCTTAGTGCACAAGTCCATTCGAAACATTTAGCCCACAAAGGAAAAACTGTCCCCATTTTGTTTCTTACAATTTTTTTTTGGTGAGTATTGTGTGTGTGTTTGCTTGCAAGCCTGGAAGTTATGGTGACTTCTGGCGACCCCTAGAAGGGCTAGGACATTTCAGAGAGGTGGCTTGATAACCTGCCTCTGCATCACCGGCCCTGTTATTCCCTGATATTTCAAATAGGTCTCCCATCCAAGTATTTGCTCTGCTTAGCTTCTGAGTATCTGACGAGATTGGGCTTGCCTGGGCTATCCAGGTCAAGGCTGTGTCTTACACTTTTGACCACAGTTTTAATTCTATGTTTTCTGCTGCAAGCAGGGGTCGTTTCATAGAAAAAGAGCTAGGGGAACTCATTAGCATAACTCATTAGCATATGCCACACCCCCTGACATCACCGGAAGTGTGTCATAAGGCCACACACCCCGCCCCCAACGGTCCCGGCCGCCGCTGCCGGCCTTGCAGCTCCACTGCCAAGCCCCGTGAGGGGCCCGGTGGTGGACCTGCAAGGCCGGTGGGAGTGCAAGGAAGCCCCGCAACGGCCCTCCCTGGCCCCAGGCAGGCAGGGGTGGGGAGAGGCAGGGAGGAAGCAACTTACCCTCCCTCTTCTCCTGCCTCCTCCTGGCTGAATGAGGGCTGGAAGCGGGGCGGCCGGAAGCAGGGGCGGGGCTTCGTCATGTGCCCTGCCCCCTGTACCTCACCTGGGGGAACTGCGATCCCCCGCAATCCCCCCCGAAATGACCTCTGGCTGCAAGTTTTGTAGATTCATTTCATTGTGCATATATGATGTACAGCTTTTATGTAATCTATATGGGTTTGGATCCTGCCTACACTTTCTGCAGGTGAGGGGGGATTTTTGTCACTGATTCCTCTCACAAGTCATTTCAGCCCCCCCCCCCACACACACACAGATACAACACTGTAGGGGACTGCCATGGAAGGAAGAAATTGTCCCTGCAAGTCTGGTATTAGATTTCTGATTTCTGTGAATGGTTCAAAAAATGGACAGAGCTCAGGCCAAAACTCACCAGTTTCTCCCATATTTGCAAGGTAGCAATTAGAGCCTACTTCTCAAAAGCAGAAGATAAAGTTGCTGTAGATTTTCCAGGTTGTATGGCCAAGGTCTTGGCATTGTAGAACCTGACGTTTCGCCAGTAGCTGTGACTGGCATCCTCAGAGGTATAACACAGAAAGATGGAGTATTCTCTGTGTCTTCTTCTCACCTTGACACAGAGAGTACTCCATCTTTCTGTGTTATACCTCTGAGGATGCCAGTCACAGCTACTGGCGAAACGTCAGGTTCTACAATGCCAAGACCACGCTCACACAACCCGGAAAATCTACAACAACTAACGAACTCCGGCCGTGAAAACCTTCGACAACATATAGAAGATAAAATGTTAAGCAGGGTTGCTAGGTCTCTCCCCCCACCTCACCCCCAGCCACCGGCAGGGAGAGTTGCCAGATCCAGGTTGGGAAGCTCCTGGAGATTTGGGGATGGAGCCTGGGGAGGACAGAGACTTCAGTGGGAACAGTGCCATCGAGTCCACCCTCCAAAGCATCCATTTTCTCCAGGGGAACTGATCTCTCTAGTCTGAAGATGAGCTGTAATTCCAGGGGGTCCCCTGGTCCCACCTGGAGGCTGGCAGCTGTAGTGGTAAGCCTCTATCTAGACTCTCCCACTTTAAACTGTGAGGGATACAATGTAGGCTTGCCACACACAAAAAGAGAGAAAATGAGTAGAACATACAGCTCATGATTCATTGTTAGTGAGTCAAAGACTATTGTGATAACTTTTTTTAAAAATGTGAAATCCACAATAATTCATCCCTTTGAAGAATATTAAAATACAGTCATTCAGCAAAATTATTACTTGTCCCTGTGAGCAGGAACAAAAAGATAGGCCGAAAAAAATAGGCGAGTGTGTAGTGCTGGATAGAATGCTTGCCTTGGTCCATGAAGGTCTGGGTTCGAAGGTCTACTCAGCCATGAAATTTCTTGGGTAGCAGAGCTATAGCTAGGGCTGATGTAACATGTTCTACCATGCCATCCATGTGCCACACACATCTTGGAAACTGACCTTGTTTCTTGGTGCCTCACAGTCAAATTCTATGATCAGCATTCAATTTCTTGGAATGCCCCATCAGACAGCAGGGGGGAAGGGATTACATGTATAAACAATTCCCACAAAGATTTTTCCTCAGAAAAAAGAATTATTTTAGCCTGGCTAGCCTGGTCCTCAGTAAGTTAGTTTTCTATATCCAGAGAGGCAAAATATTAAATAGGTCATTCTTCCCCCTTCGCTGCAATATAATGTGGTACAGTCCACATCCTATGAGTGTGCTGATCATGCGGCTGTCATACTTCCCATCTGTAGATTCATGATCATGATGAATGCCTGTCTATGGAGAACGAGTAGGAGTTCTAAAACAAACGTGGCTGTGGGCACACGGGCAGGAAAATGTGGGGGGGGGAGCGTGGCTGTTTGCCCCGAGCAGACCTACCGTGGAGGTCCCGTGGTAGGGGGGAGGTGCCGATCACTCCACAGTCCTGCGGTGCGGCAAAGAAGCGGGGCGCGGGGCAAATGGGGTTGGGGGTTTTTTAACTCAAATGTGCGCATGCTCCCTTGGGTGCTTGTGCGCATCCGTGGAGACTTTGGAAAAAAAACACCTTTTTGCGAGGGGACATGGGCGGGCACCGGAAATACCACCAGAAACGTGATCAGACGCCCGCCCTTGCCCCGCGGTTTCAGAAAACTAGTACCTCCGAGGTACTAGCTTTTTACCGTGCATCTTCCGCAGGAAGCCTTGGGTTCGCCACGGGAGCTCGACACTTCCCAGATGTGGTGGTGAGATCGCGCCCGGAAAATCCGCCTATCTTCCGTCCCTCTAGCGTGCCTAATGCTCCGTGTGACCGCAGCCATGGAAACACTAAATGAAAAATTCTGATTCTCTCAACTAATCACCCTTGTCAACCAGCAGGACAATTCTTGACTTCATGCTCCTCAGTTTCAGACAAAAAGATACCGATACCACTGTATTGTTGAAGGGGGGAAAAATAGAACCAACATAGTATTTAAAAGTAGCAGAAGACATTGTTAGAGGTAAATATAAATACATTCTTCGAGGCCAAGGCTGAAAAAGGAGATATAGGAAGCTTACAAAAAAAAATATCAGTTGCAATGCTTACAGCCTAAGAAAATCAAAATAATATCATGTATGATCTCATATAAAGACACCACATTAAAATCTGGAAAGCCTCCATTTGTACATTCAGTGCTATCACAGGGGTACACCCAGGCAAATCTTATGGATTTTTCCTGTGACCACAGGCCCCCTCCTTCAATGAATGCAATGAAATTCTCTTTGGCTTCTCTGACTCTTCAAACAGCCAGCGGGAGCCGTGTGATAGATCTGGTTTGAAGAGAGAAACCAAGAATCCCTGCTTGTGCACTTTTCTTCCTGCCTGTACTTTCTCAGCTGCCAGACCCATTTGCATGAGCCATGTCTGCAATGAAACTACCAGCCCCAGATCAAGTACACGCCATGTCAAAGTCTGACTGGCTACGGCAGACAAGCTAGGCATGTCACTGGAAAACTCCGCAGAGGGATTAGTTAAAGTCAAGCTGTGCAAGGGGAGATGAGCGGCTAACTAGGTGATCGGAACACACATCAAAGTGTAAGTTTTTGCAGACAAACTCTTGTTGCTTTATGGCTTTCCAGAAAGGGAGTCCCATTCTGGCACACAGTTTTCTGGGCTTTTCAGAGGAAGGCACTTTGTTTCTTGGTTTGGGGATTTAGCAGTAGAATGAATCCTGCAGCACAGCTGCCCAGAGTTTGGAAGTTAGTACCAAAGTGCATCAATTGCTCACACAAGCTCTTTCAATCCCTAAACCCCTGTTTTAATTTTGCATCTCCTTCGTGCAAATCAAAGGGCTGGATCCAACCAGCTTAGTCTCACTTCCTTTCCTCCCTGCAACTCCCAGTTCAAATAACCTTTTTTCAGGCAGGTCCTTGGGGCCCCAGGTTAGCCCTTGTATCAATCAAAGGGTTGGCGCCAATTAACTTTTAATCTCACTCACTCTCCTCCTCATTGCAGTCCTTATTTCACATGGCTTTTTTTCATGAAGGTACTTTGAGCCCAAAGCGTAGACTTTGTGCAAATCAAAGAGTTGGATTCTACTAGCTTTTCCTCTTAATCTCAATTAACTCTCCTCCACACTGTAGCCCCCATTTCACATAGGGTTTTTTTTTCTGTCTCTTTACACTAAATTCTTCCCCTGAACATGTATGCACCATTATCTGTGTGTCAGTAAATCAGCATTGTGCCCTGACCCGGACAATCCAGGATAGCTCTATCTCATCAGATCTTGGAAGCTGACCAGGTCAGCCCTGGTTCATACTTGGATGGGAGACCACCATGGAAGTCCAGGGTCACGACACAGAGCCAGGCAATGGTAAATCATCTCTGAACATCTCTTGCCTTGAAAACCCTATGGGGTCACCAAGCTGGCTGTGATTTGATGACACTCCACCATCACCAAATCACATTAATTATTATATTTCAATTATATGCATAAATATTTGTATATACATATAAATATCAATTCAGGCTGAAATTTGAACATCTGCTCATTAACCTTTTTTTTAAGTCTTCCTAATATCTCCCCAGTAGGCAAAATTAGAAGAAATCATGGTGTCATAAATCTAACCCAATATGTGACATGACAAGTCATTGAGCTGTATGTTGCCACTTGACATCATTCTTTACCATAAGGGTGTGGTAATGTATAGCACAATGATGTCAGATCAGACATTGTGCCTAAATGTCACGAGGAAGAGAGAACAAAGTGACACAGAGGTCCAGCAGCTCCATGGCTCCCATAAAGTCCTGGTGCTCTCTTGCTTCTTCACCAAAGTAAAGGACCAGTCCTGGTTTTCTTCCACATTACTGGAACTCAGGAGGCATCACCTTTGGGTCTGCAGGAATGGCCATTAGGAAGCAGCAGGTTCCCTCAAAGGAGGATGCTTGGTTTGCAACCATCCAGCATTTTGTGAATGGCCCCAGAATCCCACAGCAGCCATTTTGTGACTGATCTCCACTACCCATTCTCAAAATTCCAAAAATACACAATGGGATCAATAAGGCTGAGGACCTCTGGAATACACCCTGATGATATGAACCAGGGTGGCTAGACGAAGCAAACCAATAGAGGTTATTTTGAAATTCTCAAGCTTGCTGCTTCAAGCCAACTATTCCCATTTAATATTCACTTCTTCATAGAAAGTGGACCTGTGATTTTCCTTAACATTTTCTCTTCATATAAAACATACACACTGTTCAGCATCATTTGTGCACCAATAAATTAGCACAATATTTATATATGTACAAATGATGCCAAAATCAATCCCATGCAAACTACACATAACAGTCATACGATGTCGGTAAACAGTACAAAAAGGGGGGGGGGGGCAATAGTCATTCATCCCTAGCAACCTGATCCACAATGAAACACAATTTCAACTGGCCTTCATTTAATTTTGTTGGACTGAACAGATGAGGGGATAAAACCACATACCACAAAATTCTAGTCACCCCAGAACACTGTGTCTTAAGCCATGCTCTGTTCCTTCATATACACCTCAGTGTAAGGTGGTGGCAGTTAGGGGTGGGGAGGGAGGGTAGAGTGAAATAGATATCAGATATGACAAGTGTATGTTTTTTTCAAATATCTGACTGTTCATTTTGACTTGGAAGGGCAAGCTTTCAAAAGTTTTCGCCCTCCATTTCTGAGGAACTTTATCCTTGTGGCATGTCTGTCACTTTTCACAGTGCTCAAACCAGCTTCTGCAATTTTCACATAATGGCAGTTGTTGACAGGTTGTTAGGGGCTCACAGTGAATATGTTTGAAAAACTGTCAAGCTGGTGAAAAAAAATTTTTTTTAGAGAGAGAGTGAGTGAGAGAAGGAGCCTCCTCGTATTTGTACCAAGCATGTTAAGCTGTAAGTGGAGTCTCGGAACGCACGGACCTACTTGCAATCCCATTATATGCCTCGCAACGACAGCTGACGGGAATATATGATCCTTCAAAATTAATGTCAGATTGTCACTATAAAAAAGGTCAGGACCACATTACCACAAAATCCCGTTTATCTGGATAAGAATGATTTGGCCTTTTAATGCTCACTTATAGCTACTCCACACTAGCAATTTTTTGGGGGGGAAGAAAAGAAACTGGACTCAATTGAGACAAGTAAGCTTTTAATTAGCCTAATATGTGTCCTGTCACAGGATGTACCATCCCCCTTGAGCCCAAGGCAATTCATGCATCCTGGTCCCATCCAAAGACCTGTCTTTGTTTTGCATTGAGGAATTGTTCCAAAAGCTTCCAGCTGTGGATAGAAGCAATCAGTGGTAGCAAAAAATATATATATTAAAAATTGGCTTTTTGAAATTTGCACCATCTTTGTCTACTTGCTATTCAGTTCTTAATGAGAACTGTGTTTTGCTTCCATCCTTGATCACCATTGGGCCATAACTCAGCGGCAGAGTATGTGCTTTGCATGTTCAGTCCCAGGCATCTCTAGTTAATGGGTCTCAGATTGTGGGGCTGGTCTTAGACCTTGGAGGGTGTGGAGAGTGCAGTCAAGTTGCAGCCAATTTATGGTGACCCTGGAGGATTTTCAAGGCAAGAGACAAACAGAGTTGGTTTGCCATTGCCTGAGACCTTGGAGAATAATGATCAATAAAGTATATTTTAGAATAGAGGTGTCAAACATGCGACCTGGGGGGCGGATCAGGCCCCTGGAGGGCTTCTATCAGGCCCACAGTGGAACCGGCTGTCTTCTGCTTCTTCTTCCAGTTCTGCTGCTGCAGTATCATTGTAGGTTTGCAGCTTACAGATCCACACCTGAACAGCATACTCAAGACTGCAACATCACAGACATTTTGATGCAATAATTCAGAGCAAGAGGTGTCAGTTATCAGACACTGTTAAATAAACAAAATATTGCAAGAGTGCTGTTTTAAGCATGCTTTTATTTTAAGTTAAAAAAAAACCCTTTGTGTTTGTGTCCTTTATAAAGTTTATATCTCCCTTACCTGGCATTACATTTTATGACACACATGGCCCAGCCCAACGAGGTCTCATTAATGTCAGATCTGGCCCTCATAACAAATGAGTTCAACACCCCTGTTTTAGAAGTTGTTGTGCACATCTAATGATAAGTTGACCAAGAAAATGTATGTATTTTTAATGCAAATGAAAATGGAAGATGAAATGGTTAAAGACTGTATGGTGAAATGGATGCAAAATTTGGTTCATAATACTGATCTTACACAGTGGAGCAAACTATGGAAAGTGAATGTGAAAATAACTAAATCGGTGGCATTTAAAGAGAATCTGTATAAGATGTTCTATAGATAGTATTCAACACCCAGAGAGATTAGCTAAAATGTATAAAAATATGTCAAATAATTGTTGGAATTGTAAAAAAACATGTGGGTACATTTTATTGTATGTGGTGGACATGTGATATAGTGCATACGTTTTGGGTTATAGTACATACCTTTATACAGACAGTTTTGCAGATCTCAGTACCTTTTTGACCAGAATTGTTTTTATTGAATTGTATACCAGAGAACTTTGACAAAAATCAAAGATATTTTATAATTCATGTAGTAACTGCTGCTAGAATCTTGTTTGCAACTTATTGGAAATTTCTATCAACACCTTCTGAACATGATCTAATGGCAAAGACTATGGAAAGTGCGGAAATGGACAAATTGACTTTGATGTTAAAAGGGCAAATGGAAGAAGACTTTGTTGGACTATGGACTCCATTTTATAATTGGATAAGAGAGAAACATAAAGATATGAACTTTCTAATATTATAATATTAAGAAACTTTAATGAATTTTTAAACCTCACAGCTTATCAATGTACAATATGAAATGACAAGTTGAGGAAAGTTACGTGCAGAAAATCAATACTTTTGTTCTTTCCTCTGCCCCTGCCCCGTGTGTGTGTGTGTGTGTGTGTGTGTGTGTGTGAGAGAGAGAGAGAGAGAGAGAGAGAGAGAGAGAGAGAGAGAGAGAGAGAAGCTATCAATAAAAGGAGAAAGTTCTGTTCTAGATAGACTAATGGTCTGCTTCAGGATGTGGAAAGGTATGGTATAGCCTGATCTCATCAGATCTCAGAAGCTAAGGTGGGTCAGTACTTGGACTGGGGATCACAAGAAAGACTCTGCAGAGAGAGGCAATGACAAACCACCTCTGTTGCTCATTTTCCTTGAAAGTCCTTTGCCGGGGTCACCATAAGTTGGTTGCTACTTGATGGTACATATATATGTAGTGGTCTGCTTCAGCAAAAGGCAGCTTCCTAATCAAAGGGATAGTAACAAATTGTGCAGGCAACCTGCCTGCTATGTTACTTACCATGCAGTCATTAAGAGCTCAAAGGTTGACAGTCATTTGGTATTTTGGATTCCATCAGCAACACCACTGGCCTTGTAAGCAGATATTGTAACACAAATGTTTAGGGTTGGCACATTTACTCATAAGCTCTTTTGCAGATAGGCATAAGAAAAATAAACAGTGTTGACAGTTGATATGATTGGGTTGAAGGTGGTGTTGAGTGGAGGCCAACTTTAAAGAACCAAAAGATGAGATGGGATTGTTTTGTATGGTGTTTTGTATGTCTGGGACACTTATGGTAGCAATGCTATTTTATTCACATAGGTAACGGCACAAAAACTTTTGGAGGAAAACTGTCTGGGTTGGATGCTGCAATACAAGAAGACTCAACTCCTATTACTCTATGATTTCCCAGAAAAAAATAGAACTTCCTATCTGTTCCCAGCTCATCTCTTCCTAGAGAGTGAGATGGTAGAATTGTCAATCGTCTCCTAATCTAAATTTCTCCAAAAATTTTGAGGTCCAAATAGTTGTTTCCAAAATTGAAAATAGTCTTTCGGGGGTTTTCAGCTATTTATGTATTGCTGCTGAATTTTGTAGAAAGCACATCTCACAGCAGTTTTCAAAAACTTTAGTTCATTTCTGTGTTTCCTCTTCCCTATACATTACCAGTTTGCATGTGTGCACTGGCAACTCCCTGCAAAAAAACAAAAAAACAAATTTGATGTGATAATCCATACAGTTGTACCAGAACTCTTTTATCAGGGTGTTTTTACTAATGTGAAAGAGCACCTATGCACCAGCAAAACACTGAAGAAAAAGAATATTGATAGAGTCATGTGTATTATCACATCAAACTTGCTTTCTTTTTCTTCTGTGATGTGACAGCACACACTTACACACTGAGGTGGTGGGGAAACCAAAACTCACTGAAGGAAACTGAACAATTCAGCCAACACCACATGCTCCAATTCCAGGCTGCACAGTACAAAATGGTTTCACAAACTTACTTCGACAAATGATTGGACCTTGTGGTCTTTACTGCTGCATAAAATGTATTGTTAGTACCTCCCTATTATGCAATTTCTGTACTGCTTAATGTGTCATGTTCATACTTATGCTGCGCTCCTGTTCTTTCTGGTGGTTCTAGACTTCTAATATCCTAATGCATCAGTTATTGAATATCCCATTTTGTTGATTGTACTGGCTCTTTATGTGTAATCCACCTTGAGCCCATGTGTAGGGTTGCCAAGTCTGGGTTGGAAAATACCTGGAGACTTTGGGGGTGGAGCCAGGAGAGGGCGTGGTTTGGGGAGGAGAGAGGGCTCAACATAATACAATGCCATAGAGTCCACTCTTCAAAGCATCAATTTTCTCCAGGGGAGCTGATCTCTGTCGGCTGGGGATCAGTTGTAAAAGCGGGAGATCCCCAGGCCCCACTTGGAGGCTGGCAACCCTACCCATGTGAGAAAGGCGGACTATAAATAACACAGAGCCAATTTGGTGTAGTGGTAAAGTGTGCAGAGTCTAATCTGGGAGAACCAGGTTTTGATTCCCCACTCCTACACTCGCAGATGCTGGATGACCTTGGGCAAGCCATATTCTGGCACAGCTGTTCTTTAAAAAGAGCAATTTCTGACAGAGCTCTCTACCTTACAGGGTGTCTGTTGTGGGGAGGGGAAGGGAAAGGAGTTTGTAAGCCACTCTGAGACTCCTTTGGGTAGTGAAGGGTGGGGTATAAATCCAATCTCTTCTCTTCTTCTTCTAAATAAATAAATAAAAATAAATATTAGAAATCCTCCTAATTAGAAACTGGAATCGAAGTAGAGTGGAATGGAGAACAGGTTAGACCTATGAAACAATAAAGGAATTCAAGCGGAGTCTGGACAACCATCTTTCGGGTATGTTATAGGGCTAGCTTTCAGTATACTCCTGCAGAATGCAGGGGGTTGGACTAGATGACCTGCAAGGTCCCTTCCAAGTCTAACATTCTATGATTCTATGATTCTGTGAATGCAATGGAACTTCTCAAAAGCTTAGGAGAGGAGTGATGGAGATGAGAATAGCAATGAACATGAAACAAAAGCTGGGGGTGCAGCAGGGTGAATATTGACCAGGAATCTTTGATCAGGATATACCACTGTCTCCCATAGCCTCTTGGTGTAAAGCCTTTCTTGGCAGTCTTCCTTTGGATCAGAGTTAGATGGTGATACATCCACCTGCCACCCTTCAGGTTGCCATTTCTAGACCCTACAGTGGGCTAGCGTCCTGACAAGTTCACTGACATTCTCCAAATGTTATTTCTGCAAGATGTTGAGACTCATGCAACTTGGAGGTGTGGACAATCACCAGTCAGTGGTGAACTATTGGTCATACACTTACACTGGACTAATGTAAGTGGCCCTGAGTCTGTTCACGGGGAGGGCGGGATACAAATGGAATAAATAATAATAATAAGTTGGTCAGTCTGACCTTTTCCATACCTCAGTGTTGCTGCTGTTTCCTGGTGAGTGGAATCCTCAGCTTTTGCTCCAACTTTGCTGTGCCCCTTCTGCAAAAGGGAGTTTATTTCAGGGAATTTTTTCTCGAATTCAGATCCGATCCTCCCCGTGCGTTCTGCACTTCCTTTGAAAAGGAGCTGTGCCACCATGTTGTCATGTACGTCAGCAACAGAACCTCCTCTCCTTTTTGACACATGCAGTAACGCTATTAACATCATAACATTGTAAAAAAAAAAAAAAGGCTGGATGTATTGTGGGGAACAGCTTAGTTGCCACCACTCCAAAGGTTCACCGTTCCTCCTTAGTTGCCAACTAAGAAAATGGCTGGCAATCATCGAAATGGAGACACCAATTCATAACAAAGTTATTCAATCATTATGAAGCACACTAAATGTGTCATCATATACTTTGTCAGCGATGGAACCTCCTTTGTTTTGCTTATGCAGTAATGTTATAACATGATTTTTAAAAGGCTGGACATATCGTGGGGAACAGTGTGGTTGTCGCCATTTCAAAGGTCCCCTGGTTCTCCTTAGTCGCCAAGTAAGAAAATGGCTGGCAGTTGTCAAACTGGATACACCAATTCATAACGGTGTTATTCAATAATTATGAAGCATGCTAAATGTGTCCTCAAGTACGTCGGCAAAGGAACCTCCTTTTTCATATGTAGTAATGTTATAACATCATAACGTTGTAAAAAAATAAAAGAAAACATACCGGGAGCTATAGGGGAAGGGGTGTGTGAAGAAACAACAGAAGCATATGGTGTCAAAACCTCCCCCCCCAAAAAAAAAAAAGGAATGTACCTGAAACCTCGCTGCCTGTTTTGTCCCAATGTTATAATGTTGCAATACTATAATGAGGGGAGAAATTGCATCATAATGCAATCAACATTACACTTTTAAAAAATTAGCAGATTGCTCATGGGACAACCTGAGGGGAGGTGGAAGGGGGGTGAACACATGACACTGATGACACAAAAGGACAGTGGGAAACAAAATTTGAAATCAGGAATTCCTCACTGGAAAACTGTGAGTTCAGATCTAAAGGGGGGGAAAATCACAGGAAAAATAGATTCGGAAGACACAGGGTAATGGGGCACTAAAACTGGATCCACTCTTGGGGCAGCAAAAAGTCATGTGGAAAGTTTTACAAACTTTGATTATTTAAGAACGCTGATCCACAGGTTTGCTCTTGTGCGGAAATGGTCTCTGACAGATTCATGTCAGTGATCCCAGTCGACTGAAAAATAGATTAATATGCCCTTTTTTGTCTTTGTGTATACTGTATTGTGAATGGTTTGGGTTGCCTAGTGTTGTCACCGATACTGTCGATTTGTCTGTCTCTGCAATATATGCACAATTTATAGGTATAATATAATATATAATGTCGAACTACTGCACAAAACAACACTGAGAAATGCAAACATTTTATAGGAAAAATTGGCAGGTGGATTCAGTTCAAACAAGAAAAGTAAAATCAAAATGGAGATATTAGAATGGAACTGGCAACCTTGCAAAACTTGATAGTATCCTTAAGTTCGAACAGACTTGTTGGCTGTGAACATCTCTAGCTAGGGAATGGCGAGCTCATCAGATACTCCAGCCTCCTTCTGGATTACATGATACCATGTTCTCCCTTGGAAAACAGCCAGTCCTCGAAACTCAAAGACATGCCTTTCTGCTCTCAGAATCGTGGCGCCCATCGCAAGCAAATGATGATATAAGACGTATGAATGACTTGTGCATCTTCTTTAACCACTTCTGGGTGCTTACCCATCTACCCTTCTCTTCATTGCTTTCTTGTAATGTGCCAAGCATCCCTCTAATGGCCTGGCTTGTTTGGCTGATTGCTTCCTGGATCTCACCCATCATTCCTAGGCAAAGGTCCAGGGCAGACTGCAGGATCTAAATAGGGTTGTCGGGTGTGGATATTTCTGGCAGAGGAATAGAAAAGTCATCAGATCAGGTTACTCATGTTCAAAACCACTCCTGAAAATTACACCTTCTATTGATTTCTTCATTTATCAGATTTATCAGACTACTTTTTATCAGACTACTTTTCAAAAACTCTTTCAAAGCAGGGTATTTTAAATTCAATATAGACAGTGTAGTATTTGTTTTAAAATGTTGATAAAATATAAAATACAGCCGGGGCAAGGGGGATGACAAGTGAAATGCAAAAATGAACAATCCAGAAGCAATTGTGGAATTAAATAATCGGGCCAACCCTCATAGGAAATTTGAAAAAAGGAAATGTCTGCACTGATTTTGCAGTCTCAGAAGAGAGACATGAGAAGAGAGTCCAAGCTCCATGGCAAGAAAGGAGAAGGCCCTGCATTTAATAGTTGCCAGTATGGGCTCAGCCTAAGCAGAATGCTGAAGCATGGCCCTCTGTGGCTGACTGTGAATTCAGGAGAGCTATATATCAGAACCCCTGACCTGGATGGCCAAGGATAGCTTGATATTGTCAGATCTCAGAAGCTAAGCAGGGTCAGCCCTGGTTAGTAGTTCGGATGAGAGAACACCAAGGAATCCCAGGGTCGCTATGCAGAGGAAGGCCATGGGAAATCAGAGCAGGCACTTTCATAGGGTTGGATCCAGCATATTTCCATGGTCCCTGGCATAGTTTTGGGTGGCCAAAGGGAACCCTTCCTTTCTTTGTCACCAAAAGGCTGATGGGATCATACCTAGTCCTGCCACTGGCCCATACAGTCCTACCAGCCCTAACCCATAGTGTCCAACCATGTTGTAGCTTTCAGTTGGACTGGATCACCTGTAAGAAGGCGATCCAGTCCAGCTCAACGCTCCAACATTCCTGGTAGATGGTTATCTATTCTAGACGATGCTTGAAAACCTCCAGTGAGGTGGAACCTACCATTCCACTAAACAATTGGTTCTATAGTTGAACCACTGTCACAACTAGAAAGTTCAAGCTTGAGTTCATCTGAAATTATCCTCCTGTAACAGACCCATTAGATAGAATCTTGCCATCAGGAGCAGCAGAGAATTACCCCCCCTCCATATAATGGGTCCTCGATAGCTTGAGCAGCAGGATCATGTCCCCCCATCTTTGTCTTCTCCAGCCTAAACATATTTATTTATTCAATGTATAGTCTGCCCTCCCCTACAGGCAGGGCTCAGGGTAGTGAACAGCATTTCAGTAAATTACAATCAGAATCAATAAACAGTTACAATTATCCAGGGGTCATTTTGTAGAAAAAGAGGTGCAGGAGCTCATTAGCTCAACTCATTAGCATAACTTATTTGCATATGCCACACCCCCTGACATCACCAGAAGTGTGTCAGAAGGCAACACCCACCGCTCAGGCTCCACTGGGCTGTTTAGAATTTTGTTCTCCGTTACCATGTATATATCTGCCAGCCGAGGACATGCATCTGAGGAAGAGGTCAATGTGTTAGTCTTTACATTCCATAGGCCTGCTATTGATTTTTTTTTGGTTAACCATACTTAATTTTACACTTGCCACATTGTTAGTGTTCCCTGCCACTTAATAGATAAAATGGATTAGAAGAGCATCTCTTGAATGGCCCTCTCTTCTCTATCCATCTCTTTGTTGGCTAATATTTGAAAGCTTAAAGACAGATAGACAGACAGTTAGATAGTTAAAGGCACCAAAGTCTTTTGGATGGAGGAAACAATGAAATAAATTATAAGAGGGTATGATCTGATTGGACACACGAGTCTTCTTTCCTCCACTACCATTTCTCTATGCCATGCCATTGGTTGGTGATGTTCCCCAACCCCGCTGTGCCAACACTGCCCCCGCAAAAAACCCTATTTACCTGTGGTAGGAGGCGAGTTGCAGGATGTTGTAGGGAGAGAGACATAAGCAGGCCGTGAGGTTGCCCTTCCAAAGGGCCCCGATGCCTTCGGCCTGGCATAGGCTGCGCCCTGTCTGCCAGATCCCCTGTCAGGAGTGGCGAGTACCCACTTGGGCCAGGATGGTGAGCACCTCCAGCGCTGTCACGCTGAGGCTCACCACCCGTGCCACTCCGGCACAGCTGAACCAATGCAGCGCAGTGAGCCAGCTGTCACGTTTCCAGGTTGCTATGCCACCTCACTGGCAGCTGCAGCATGCCAGCCATGGCCCAGGTGACTACCATGGAAGGAGCGCAGCGCTGCCTACCAGCTGCAGCCCAACCCCTGCATGCACGCGCCCTGTCTGCCAGATCCCCTGTCAGGATTGGTGAGTACCCACTTGGGCCAGGACGGTGAGCACCTCCAGAGCTGTCAAGCTGAGGCTCACCACCCCTGCCACTCCGGCACAGCTGAACCACTGCAGTGCAGGGGGCCAGCTGTCATGTTTCCAGGTTGCTATGCCACCTCGCTGGCAGCTGCAGCATGCCAGCCATGGGCCGGGTGACTACCATGGAAGGAGCACAGCGCTGCCTACCAGCTGCAGCCCAGCCCCTGCATGCAACACACTCCACCAGGCCATGGGAGGCAGCGCTTCCTTGCTTGGAGACGGGAAGGGGAAGGACCTGCACACGCAGACAGGCTGGAGCAGAGTGGGGCAGCTGGGTAGTGCAGCTGACAGTAAAGCCTGGCAAAGGAGTTCCTTTGGGAGCTTGTCCAAATAGCAGAACAGCTGACAAGGAGTGCTTCATAAAAGCTTGACCTAGAGCTGAGGCAGGCCAAGGCTGTAAGAAAACGGAAAGTGGTGGGTGAACGGCTCTGCAGCCCGCCCTCAAGGCAGGTGGTGGGAGTTTAGGGGCACTGGGGTACACATCACACCTCCTTGCTCTGCCCCAGTCGCAGACACCAGCTGCCTCCCACTGCCCTAGTCTCTGTCCTCCTTGCCCCTGGCGGTTCCCTTCTTCCCCTCACAATGGCTCCGAAGACCGAAGTGTGCCATTTTCAGACAAGTCTTTTAGCCCCGCAGGTGCCCTGATCTAAAAGGAGCGGGAAAGGGCTGCTGGAGCCTTTGGGTGCTTCCAGAAGAGCGCCTGGAGGAGGCAGCAAAGTGCCGCTCCGACTGACTCACTGCCTCCAGGCTCTCACTGCAATATAAAACCCTGCAAATGCTTTTCACCCTCGGCGAGGCTGGTTCTCCTTCCCCACAGGCCTCGACTTGTTTGGCTGAGCTCCGCAAGGTTTTCTGAGAGCTGCTGGGTGCAGGGGGCGGGGCTTGCTGCATGTGCCCACCCCCTGAGCTCCTTACTGCAGGAGCGTCGCTCCGGTGAACTCCGGCAAGAAATGAGGCCTGCAATTATCAAAAATCCAGTAGCTATTTAAAGATGGCACTTAAAGACCAATTCCTATCCTTACCCCAAAAGGGAGGGCAAAAGGAGGGCAGAAAAAGGGGAGAGGCCAGGCATGATGGAAACCGTTGCTGTCCTCAACCATAGGCCTTCCCAAAAATCAGCAAATACCGTGCTACATACAATTTTTAAAATATATTTTTGTTTTATATTTTTACAATTTATTCACCATATATTATTTATCATATAAGCCTTAATACATCGAAAGAATCATATATGAAAACATCTAAGTATCGTCTCTTAATATATCACAAAATATAAGAAAAGCACGTCCTTTTCACTTTGGAGGAAGCTTTGAGCTCACTAAGAGAGACTTTTTGCAGTGTTCATTGAAAAAATTTGGATAAATATTTCGGTATTTGGCAACTTTGTGCTTGGAAATATCTGTTGAACTTCCTGAGGAAGACACTGAAACAGGAGGATATCTGGACTTCTGTTGGAGGAAGACTGAGCACTTATTCAAAATAGACTTAAAGGAGTCCTCCCTCTTAAAACTTTTGTATAATTAAGGAGTACTGATATTAATAAAGGGGTTGTGCAATATCTTTTGTGATATATTAAGAGATGATACTTAGATGTTTTGATATATGATTCTTTCTACGTATTAAGCCTTATATGATAAATAATATATAGTGAATAAATTGTAAAAATATAACACAAAAATATATAAAAATTATTTGAGATATTTGCTGATTTTTGGTATTTCCTACTTACCTTGGGTCCTATTTTGGTTTTGTGACTTGCTCAACCATAGGCCTGGCAGAACATCTCTGTCTTACAGCCCTGCGGAACTGTGCCGAGTCCCACAGGGCACAGATGTCATTTGGCAGAGAGTTCCAGCACCAAGGCTGAAAAGGCCCTGGCTCTGGTTGAGGACAGCCAGATATCTTTTGGGCCAGGGATCACCAGAAGGTTCTTCTCTCCAGAGTGTAATGCTTTTCTGGGGGTATACTAGGAGAGGCGGTCGCGTAGATAAGTAGTAAGCACTATGTTGTTGCCAGAAATTTGGCAAATGCTGACATTAAGTGCTAAGTCTTGATTTGCAGAGAGGGAGATGGAATTTACCAGCAGCTAAAATGTTTTAAAGTAAAGTAGGCTTCCGTGTTATAAGAAAACAATCATTTTAATACATCACAAATAGTTACAAATACACATATGTAATGACCCAGCTACACACAATGCACACGATATACTGGAGTCCTTCAGAAATGTACTTTGTTCTGGATTTCATCTTAAGGGCTGACATGGAGTAGTGATTGGACTAGGACCTGGGACAAACTGTTTTAAATCCCCCTTCTGCCATGGAATCTCAGCAGGTGACCTTGGGCCTGTAACAATCTCTCAGCCTAACCTACCTCAAAAGGTGTTTGTTGTGAAGACAGAGTGGAGGAGGAAGAACAATAAGTTATTTTGGGTCCTGATTATGGAGAAAAGTTTGATATAAATAAAGAATAAAAGTCATTTTAAAATCTCCTCCCCCTCTCATTGTTTGTGTGATTTACCAGGTTACCAGAGCCTCCAGTAAATCTTCAAATGTCATAGCCATTTTGTGTTGTTTTATTAAAGGCCATTTCCATGTCATGGGTGTAAATGGCAAAAAAGAGAGCGAGAGAGAGATTTATCTTAAAAGGTGTCTTTCTTTCCCCATCAGGCCTTAGGCAACATCAAGACTTACCATTAAATGTTGATATTCACCAAGTTTCCAATATGTATACATCAAAACAAAAAGAACACCACAAAACAAAGGTATTTGGATATCTGAAAGTCCTGGAAAGCAAAGGCTGTGCCTGTAATATGGAATGAAGCAATATGAAAAAGAAGATAACGGAATTTTCCTAGAGAAAGGAAAGAATCTTTGGTCTCGACTTCTTTTTCTTCCACTGCACTAAGGTCCCAGTAGATGTTAATGCAAGGTTTGATTCAAGGGACAAGAGAAACAAGGTCAGTGTGCTTTGCTAACAAAATCCTCAACATTTTCTCTCAGGTATGCTAGTCCCTAAATGAATGCAAGGATCATTTTTGTTTCGAATACCATTGCGTTTCTTCTATAACCACAGTGGTGCAAGGCACGTTCTTGAACTTTCCTTGACTCCGTGGAAGTATTTTCAACTCCAGGGAATAGGTTAGAAATTCAAGATTTTGATACAATCTGATTCTTTGAAACCCAAGGCATGGCCGTTCTGCCAAGCTGCCCCTCCCTTCCTCTTGACTCATTAAAACAGCAGACGCTCTGCCAAGTGAAGGATTTCTGCCATTCGACATCTGCCCAGAATTTTCACTTGTGTCAATGCTGCAAGTAAAACAAATTCAGCTGCAAAGTTTGGAATGATGTTTAGACCAAAAGCTCAACAGGAACAGCAAATAATACCCAGTTATGAGACTGATGGTTTTGATCCTGTGTTACAATTATAAGTAGATGGCTATTTAGGGTAGTTTTGGAGATTCTGTGCAAGGGACAGTAAAGAGATGTGTGAGGGTGTAAACAAAAAAACCAGAGGTCTAAGAGGACACCTTACATTGTCTGCCCAGCAGTCTATTCAGCCACCAGATCTCCAAGACCTTAGGCAGAGGTTCTTCACAGCCTTCCTATCCGAGGCCCTTTGAAGCATGTGCTCATCCACTGAGGTAATCTCTCCTTTTGACATTCAGCATAAGGATGCTACTGCAAATGAAAGCCCTGTCAGATTTTTCTCCACTCTTTATAAACATAGGCGGATTTACAATGTCATCAACACATTGCACACTTCTCTTCACCACTGCCATAGGTAAGGAAATGATAGAGGTAAATCTGCTGAACTATTATGGAGGAACTAAAGAAATCAGTTCTGCTGGGGGAAATGGCTGCTTTGGAGGATGAACTCTATGGCATTCTACCCCACTGAGGCCTCTCCCCTCCCCAAACCCCCCCCTCCCCAGGCTCCCCCCCCAAAACTCCATGAATTTCCCAACCCAGAGTTGGCAACCCTCGCAGCTGGATTCAACCCACCCACCCCCACCGCACAGTCTGGGACAGTTGCTCTGGTCATTCCATGGTCAAGACCACTCCCGACCATTTGCACCATCAGCATTGTGGATGGTTTGGTCATGAGCTACTCTTGATTCCTTTTTCTCTTCTGTAGAAAAATGGCCAACATGGTGATTGAGACAATCGACCACACACAGAGATGTGACAGTTCTCGGACAACCGTCTGCATTGACCGATGGTCAATGAAAACTGACCCTTCATGCCCTTATTACAGCTGCTAAAAGACTTATATTACAGCAATGGAAAGATAACCCACCTCTGGTAAATCAATGGATTGAGGACCTTAGAACTCTATCAATATTTGAACACACAGCATATAGACAACAATTGATGGAGTTATTTTTAGATACTTGGAAATCCTCTGTAGAAACCTATGTGTACATCTGCCACTGCTGTTATTACATTTTTGTCTCTTTGTATACCTTTTCTTGTTTTTCTTCTTCTCTTTTTTATTTATTTATTTATTTATTTATTTAACTTTCAATTTCTAGACCGCTCACCCCCGAAAGGCTCTGAGCGGTTTACAGAGTACAATTTAATGATCCTAGCTAGGGCCATACAGTACTGGGGAGGGGAATGCCTATCAGGCACCCTACCAGCTAGTTGTTAATCCAGCGGCTCTTCTTCCTCCGACTCTGCGCGGTGGCTCAGCTCGGCCCAGCTCTTGCAGCGGCTCCTCCTGGGTGGTTCCATTGCCCACAACTCTGTGACGATCCCTGCACCGGCCTCCATCCTAATTGGCTCCGGCCGAGCTTGCGTCGTCACGTCGCCGCGCCTTTCGGACCAGTCCCCACTCGCCTGCTCAATGTTTTTGCTGCTGTCTTCTGCCATCTTTCCACCATCCTCCGCTGGATTGGGTTGTCCCATTGTCGCCAACACCACCGCTCCTTCTCGCCGCTGCTCCTCCGAAGGCGGGTGCCCCCCTGCACCTAAGGCAGGTACCCATTTATCTACTTGCAAGCTTTCGAACCGCTGGGTGGACGGGAGCTAGGACTTGGGCTGGGAGCTCACCCTGGCCGTGGTGGGACTCGAACAGCCTTATGGCTTTTCATTGATAGATTTAACTTTGCAGGCTCTTTACTGCCTGCGCCACCGCTCCCTGCCTTTAACTCTATTTAGTTGCTGGATTTTGAGTTTTTTCCTTTGTTGTTTTTTTCTGGATTTCCTTTTGAAAGAAAAAACTGGAAAAAAGTTCTGGGAGAACCAGGATTGGAATAAACTGGAAGACCCAGCTTCAAATCTCGATCTTTATGATTTACTATTGAGGTAGCAATAGCTTTACAAATGAACTGTGTTCTATCTTAACTGAAAGATCCACTAATTAAAACTTGCCTCCAATCTTGAACTAATTCATCTACCAATTAAATCTTGAGGTCCAAATTAACGTAATGCTTCTGGGGGGGGGGATGGAAATTCTACTCTCTGTGTTAAGCCAGTATTAACCTCACAGAGATTTATATAATGCTGTTATTTATTTAGTACAGTACTTGTTTAACCTACTCACTTTTCATAGCTTTTCCCCATCCTGCACTTTATCCTCACAACAATCCTATGAAGTAGGTCTGAGAACGAATGACTGGCTCAAGGTCACCATTTGAGTTTCATGGAGAGGAATGTGTGACCCTGGGTCTCCTAGCCAGATACACTAACCGCTACCCTGCATGGTTTCAAATTTGTCATGTATTTGAGGAACTTCTCCTGTGTAAATGAGGGCACACAGAAGTTTAATGAACATATTTTGCAGTGAATGGGGTAAGAATGCAATGCCTGATCTCTAGACAAAGAGAGAGATTTGAACTTCCATGATAGAATCAACCTTTCAGCATTTTAAGTGAACTGTAATGCCAACAAAAACCTTGAGATCAGAGGCGCATAAAGATTAATAATATATATTCAGGTGTTTTTATTCTGCTTTTGTCCCTGATAGAGAATCAACATGGCTTACAACATTGCTCTCCAATCATTTTGTCCTCAGAATTACAAACCTGTGAGGTAAGTTAGGTTAAGAGTGTGTGACTGGCCCAAAGTCACTCAGAGAGCTTCCATGGCAGAGTGGGGATTCAAACCCAGGTTGTCCAGATCCTAGTCTGAAACTATAACTACTACACCACACTGGGCCTGTAAAATAAATAATATTTATTCAAGCATAAGTGTGTGAGAGTCAGAGCTTATTTCTGCATTTTGTCCAGAAAGTATCTGATGGAGCTTTTGGTTCTATCAATTCATTCATGTCCTTTCCCTCTTGTCGGCATTACATAACATATTCAGGGGCACTGATCACGTAGTGCACCATCCAAACACAACTGACTTATGGCGACACCATGAAGTTCCACTCCACATCAGTTGGTCTGTAGCAGTAGAAAAGAGCAAGAGTCCAGTAGCACCTTAAAGACTAACAAAATTTGTGACAGGGTATGAGCTTTCATGAGTCACAAAGTGAGCAGTAATTCACAAAAGCTCATACCCTGCCACAAATTTTGTTAGTCTTTAAGAGCAGACTAATCTGGGCTATTACAGCAGTCTCACCAGAAATCGCACATACGATTGCCTCCTTTCCATTAATGTAGTGTTTTGCTAGTATACATTTGCACTTGTGTTCATTGGTAAGACACATCAAAAAATAATTTTGATCAATCATATCACTCACCATCAAGATTCCTTTCTTACCGGGTTTTTATCAGAGTGCGCCTTCTACATATTAGCAGCATACAGGAACTGAAAATTCGGGCAAACTCTGCCTGCACCAATTCTGGGACTGATTTCAGAAATTCTTCTAGTGAAACAGGAGCTGAGGAGGGACAGAACACTGTACAGAGTGAACTTCCAGAACAATAAAGGAATGGAACAAGGGGAAATCTGCATATCCTTAGTTTGTCTTTTATTAAGCACACACACAAGCGTTGCCATATTTTTTTGTTGTTCAGTCGCACAGTCGAGTCCGACTCTTCACGACCCCGTGGACAAGACTGTTATTATTATTATTTGACTTGCCCATACAACACAATCATTATTAAGAGCATTTCTGAGAATTACTCAGATCAGCCAGAGTCATTTGGTTGCCATTAACAAGTAACTTGCTATCTAATAAACGTCACAATGAGTTTCATTTAATTAAAATCATAAATATTATTCGGTAATGCAGATTGGCATTTATATCTTCATTTACGTGGCGTGAGATTTATGGCTGGGGCTTTATTTGATGGAGGCCACAAATAATGGCTATTAAACTGCCAGACGATGGACACGGGATCACATTAATGAAATTAGACAAGGCAAGGGACTGATCTATAGAGCCCTCCTGCTCAAAAGGAAAGCCAAGTCCTGTCCAAAACCAGATGTTTTCTTTGGCTGCCGTTCCACTGTGCTGTGCTTTGACTGGGCAGTTTAAGTCAAGCTATACTAAGGGCAACAGAGACAATGTCTTCCAAGAGGCATCACAAGCAGGTTACAGCTTTACCCTTTCCCCCCCACCCCTTATCTCAAAGGCATTTGGGCTCATCTATTTCATACATCGAGAAATATGTCACTGCATGAAATAGTGTCTACATAACAACTAAGACTTTAAAAAAGGAAGACGGCAACAGCTATGGGTGGAAGACAGAACACATTTTTCTCACTGTCCATTAAGCCCTACCCTGAATAGCCTAGGCTAGTCTGATCTCAGCAGATCTCTGAAGATAAGCAGGGTCAGCCCTGGCTAGTATTTGGATGGGAGATCACCAAGGAATACTGGTGTCATGACACAGATGCAGGCAATGGCAAACCACCTCTGAATATATCTTGCCTTGAAAATTCTACCAGGTCACCATAAATCAGCTTTGACTTGACAGCAGCAGCAACAACAACAACAACAACAATTAAAACAAACCTAGCAAATGCAAAAGACTAAAACAAAATCTTGTTTCAGATAGCAGTCACCAGATTGCTCCAAGCCAAACAGAACAAGAAAAGTGGGCAAAGCTCTGTCTGTTATTTCACCCCTTACCTCTGCCAAAGTGAGTTCTTGTCTTGGTGTAGTCCGTCCCAACTTGAAATGAGCTATGGAGTAGCTGACTGCTCTTCCAAAGGATTCAGTCTAATACTGCTGTTTCCAGCCAGTTTGTGTTGTTGTGAAAACTCAGTTCTGTTCTCTCTGGCTCTGTAGCTGAGCACAAAATGACATGTGGAAGGACATGGATGAGATATTAATTCAAACTTGCCTTGTGGGCAAATTATCTCACTGGATGCTGTTGTGAAGCTGAGATAAACACTCTGAAAACAGAAGAGCATCTCCCACTCTTGAAGTATATTTACTGCTTTGGATTAGGGATGAAATGATCCCTAGTTACCTTATTTTCATATTTTTGTCAGCCATTTCTCTTGTCCGCTTTCCACTATTGATTTTGCAGATTTGATTATATTGTGTATACAGGTTTATATGCAATTAAATTCATATGGTATTTATACATAATGCACACTCATACACACATGATAAATGATAGATGATAGATAATCTGTATGATGCCTGATACTGATTTACTTCTGCACATTCCAGATGAAACATGTAAGTTATATAGTGGAAATCTGATGTAAGTGGGCAGAAAACTGTATATAAATTAAAAAATCATTAGATCAATTCATACCAACAAGAAGCAAAATCAAAAGAGGACCTGGGAACCAGAACAGCCGAGATGAGAAATTCAAAGTCACGGATGAGATATGTAAAAAGGAGAGCCAGTTTGGTGTAGTGGTTAAGTGCACAGACTCTCATCTGGGAGAACCAGGTTTGATTCCTCACTCCTCCACTTGCAGCTGCTGGATGACCTTGGGCAAGCCATAGTTCTGTCAGAGGTGTTCTCTCGAGGACAGTTCTGGAAAGAGCTTTCTCAGCCCCACCTACCTTGTAGGGTTCTGTTGTGGGGAGGGGAAGGAAAAGGAGTTTGTAAGCTGCTCTAAAACTCCAAGTGAAGGGTGGGGTATAAATCCAATCTCTTCTTCTTCTGGGATGGGTTGTTGAGAGGGAAAAGAAAGATCAGGACAACCCCTTTTGTCAGATGATATGTTGTCAGTGGATATCATAAACGGGCAATAGCTGGTTTATGTCTGCATTTTGTAAGGAGAGAAAGACTTTCATTGCTGGTGCATTTCCACTATCTTTGTGTAGGCCATAGTTGCTAACAGTTTTGAAAGCAAGACTGAGAAACAGAGCTTCATCCCATGCTGGACTGCTGTGTAGTGGGGAAGGGCAGGCATTAAAAGAAGAGAAGAAGATATTGGATTTATACCCCGCCCTTCAGTACCTGAAGGATTCTCAGAGCAGTTTACAATCTCTTTTCCCTTCCCCTTCCCACAACAGACACCCTGTGAAGTAGGTGGAGCTGAGAGAGCTTTTCAAAGACTGTTCTTGAGAGAACAGCTCTGAAACAACTTGTAACTAATCCAAGGTCACAAGCTGCATGTGAAGGAGTGGGGAATCAAACCCGGTTCTCCCAGGTTAGAGTTCGCACTCCTAACCACTACACCAAACTGGCTGTCTCTCAGTGGCTGACTCCAGAGCAGTGTGTGAGAGCAGGGGTCGTTTCGTAGAAAAGGAGCTAGGGGAACTAACTCATTAGCATATGCCACACCCCCTGACATCACCGGAAGTGTGTCATAAGGCCACACACCCTGCCCCCAACGAGGGGCCCGGCGATGGACCTGCAAGGCCGGCGGGAGTGCAAGGAAGCTTCGCGAAGGCCCTCCCTGGCCCCAGGCAGGCAGGGGTGGGGGAGAGTCAGGGAGGAAGTAACTTACCCTCCCTCTTCTCCTGCCTCCACCTGGCTGAATGAGGGCCGGAAGCGGGCAGCCGGAAGCAGGGGCGGGGCTTCGTCATGTGCCCCGCCCCCCGTACATCACCCGGGGCAACTGCGATCCCCCACGATCCCCCCCGAAATGACCTCTGTGTGAGAGTGCCTTCAGATATTCCAGTGAAATAGCAGAAATGAATCTTGTATTCAAAAAGGGAATTTGCACAAGTTCCCCTGATGAGACTGGGGGGAGGTGGTTTCAAGGTGCTGTCATCATTTAAGAAGTAACCCCACAAAAGCCAGGCTCTGACTGTTGACTAGTCTAAAGTCTCCACCCAAAGAATGGGGATGGTCAGGGGTCTTGTTGTAGAAAAAGAGCTGCCGGAGCTCATTAGCATAACTCATTAGCATAACTTATTTGCATATGCCACGCCTCCTGACATCACCGGAAGTGACAGAAGGCCACACCCCCTGACATCACCGGAAGTGTGTCAGAAGGCCCGGCTACTTACCCTCCTGCTTCATCCTCATTCCCAAACGGAATGAGGATCGAAGCAGAGGGCGGGGTAAAGAAGGGGGCGGGGCTTCACCACGTGACCGCCCCGCCCCCTAGAGGTTCTCTTCCGGAGCTCCGTACCTGAGAGCTCCCCCCCGACTAGAGCCCTGGGGATGGTAGATCTCCTGGCTTCCTTTCCATTGTTTACCCCAAATTTCCTTTATTAACCAAGTTTCTACTGACAGGTACCAATGAATACTCACTTTGCTGAGGAAGCTCTCTGGGTGACTTTGGACTAGTCACTGGGACATTCTACATTTGTTTTTTCTCTCACAGTTTTACCGCAGCCACATTGGAAGGGAAATATCCCGCTACACTGCATGGCACCCCCACTCTCCTCATGCATCAATTTACTTCGGAACGTCTGCATTGTTTTATGGCCATTCAGGGCTGACTCCACAGCCATCATGGCATTGCCCCGTGTTATCTGGATGTGGTTTTGTGCTGGATCTTTTGCTCTCTCCACTGCCAATTTGCAGTGAACAATAAAGAGACTACTTGATGCGGCTTCACCGATCTCCGTCCGTCCGTTCTTCCCACCCCCATTTCTGTTCTGTTTTCTTTCCCTCCTTCTCCAAAGACAAGAGAATGTGTCCTCCCATTCAGGCAAACTTTAAAACAGCCAGAGAGAGCATAAGAAGGAATCAGTAACTGTAAATGACTAGGGGATTCCCTGACCCCAAAAGTGTCTTTGTGGGCTTGGATTCTCCCTTCCTTCCCTTTTTTGTTTTAACTCAGGGATGAATTTATCATTAAACTTTGATCACTGGTGAAAAAAAATTACTGCACTGCGAGGTGTGTTTGTGTGCGTTCTTAGGGTATCAGAATGACTTCCTCCTTTCCTTTTCTCTTAAAGGTACAGTGTCTCCCCCCCCACACACACACACATTAGTAATATAATAATAACACTGACCTACTTTACAGGGCTGTGGTAAAATTACTGGGCTAACACATGGGAAGTGCTTTGAACACTCTAAATAATCATATAGATCTGAAACATTAACATATCAGGTTCAAGATTACATACAGGTCAAGTAACAGTGGCTGCAGCACAAGCCAGGCCAGAAATAGAGACAGAACCAAGAGGAAAGAAATATCCATGCTGAAGTCTTGTCTTAATAGCAAGAAGGCAGGGTAGCAAGTAGGCAGATGTCTCAAGCAAGCGTGGCCAGGCTGGCAATAGCAGGCAGCACTGATGGGCAACTTCTGAGGCCCAAGAATTTCAAGAGGGCCCACCACTGGCTGGTGACTTCATATTAGGGTTGCCAAGTCAGAAACTTACCGGAGAGTTTTCCCTTGAATGACTGTGGCCCTGCCCCCAGCGTGCCCAGCGTACCCGCATCACTTCCGGGTGATGTGCACATGGGGGTGGAGTTCCCCCTGGGGCCCGATCCACCAGCGGTGGGGAACGGGCCTCTGGGGCGGGGTTTTCCCCGCCCCCTGGGGGACTTGGCAAGCCTACTTCCTATAACAAAGTAGCAGCAGCTACCTTCTTGCCCCATGTGGCAGGATCAAACCCCTGGGGGCTACAGAGGCCCCTCCAAGCAGTGATAGCAGCTAAGAAGAATAAAAGCAGTAACTGCCATTCCCTTACCTTTCTGCCATTCCCTGCCTTTCTCTGGATTGTTGAGGGGTGTCTACTGCTTATCCTAGTACCCTATTGGGTGAATGAGCCATGATGATATCAAACACTAAGAACCAAACCCCTTCCACTTTATTTCTCTGCCTGGAGATGAAGGAGTAGAGAAGGAAAAGATTCTGGTGGCATCTTGCCCTGGAGTTCCCAAAACTTGGAGTTGACCTAATAATTGGTATCATACAGTGGGTCAATGTTATCTTCTTTTTCAGAGGGCAGTCTTCTTTTTTGAGGCCTGTCCTCTGAAATGTCCAGTTCTGGTTCTGTCCTGTAAGACTGATTGAAGGGACTGTGAAGACTAGATTCCTGAGCAACCACAGGGGCCCCAGAGTGACCTGCAGTTGGAAGAAGGGATGCTAAAGGTAGCCAGGATGTCTGAGGTAAATTATAGATAAGTCATAATGTTAGCTTGATTGCTCTAAATTGTTATCAATATTGGGGAATTATGAATTATTATTAATAAGCAATCGGCAAAGGGAGCTTTCACCTTTGTATACAGAGGCTGCCACTTATCCAGAGCACTAGTAACAGACAAGCAAGCTGATATTAGTTTAAATCAAAGTCTTTTACTGTATTTTATGCACATTCAGACATTACACAATCACACACACAATTATACAGGGCTAGGAAACTTAGAGAGATTGGTATAGCTCAATTGCATTAGCAGGAGATTTGTTGTTTGGGCAATACTTTTACCTGATCCTGAAGAGATGAAGTCTTCCAAATGGAAAAATAAGGAAATACTAGAAAAATGGGGATTATGCTAGGAAAAGGGAGCGTGCAGACCGAACCAGCAGAAAGCACATGGGACTCTAGCTGCACAGACCAAGAGTCTTAAGGCAAGGGTGGGTGGCAAGCTAGCCACAAGTTTCAAGAAGCAGAGAGTATAGAGTTCATTGGGCGGGAAGAGAGAGAGAGAGCATCTCTGTGTGTCATCTTTCATTAGGCGACCTTAGGAGGTGGGCGATGCAGGTCCCCTCCCTTGGGATGACATGGGGGGGAGGTCTTGCTGGACCCCTCCCAGAAGAAAACCCTTCTGTGGTCCGTTCCAAAAAGTCACATATGCAGTGGAGTAAGGGGGTCTAGATTGGGTAATTTGGATGTTAATTAAGTTGGTAACAGAGACACCTGAATGGCACGTTGAGCCATCGTCTATCA